ATACACAGCCATGCTACAATCCAGCACACGCACTGCATTTGAGATGGGGTTCAAAAACAAGACCTGTAAAGTACAACCTTCTCCTAAGTGGTCAGATTTCCCAGGTTCAATGAAGGCATTGTCCATCCAATATCCCAGAAAGAGGGATGGAGAACAAAAAAATTAACGACAAGCACCTTTTCCCACAGGTGTCCACTACAATGGAGGTCAAAGCACTTCAGGAAATTTCAGTGAGGCGTCGAGCTTCCCTGCAAATCTTATCAGCCTTCCCTGTCACCACCCAATACACAGCTGTCACTTTGAGATACTATTCCTGCTGCAGTTAAATTAATTCCAAAAGAGAAAAACAGGTTGGAGAGATATGTTAACAATGAAATTCACTGTAAAAGTAAGCTTTTAGCTAGATGAATTCAGACTATAATACACCAGACACACACACACACACACACACACACACACACACAGCCCCTGCATGCAGCCTCTCATCAGCCCTCTACAACGTGGGCAGCACTGCCTAGCAGCTCCACATGCAAAAGACAAGAACATCCAGAAAGAACTTGGCATCCAGACATTCCTTCCAACCATCCCAACAGGCTGCAAGCTGACTTAAAGCCCAGTGGCTGGTACAGAGGGCGTGCGATCTTGTCTGTGGATAGAGGAGGTCACTGGGCCATCAGGAACTATGTATCCCCTTCCTCAGGCCCCTCAGAAACACTCCAGGTGGAAAGCACACTTGCTTGTCCTTCTGTGGGCTATGTGCCTGGTCATGGGCTGCTAATGTCAGACCTGGCCATCTTTTTCACACACAGTTTGCAATGCTGTCACTTCTGCTTCTGTAGGGCTGGGTGTGATCCAACTATTTAAACAGAAACCTGACTCGGTTGCTCTGATAAGGCATTTGGCGCCCTCAAACCTAAATCATTTGGAATGAACTATCTCCCTAACACAGCCAAAACAACCTGGAAGCCTTACTGAGTTTGTCTCAGTAGATAGTGTCAGCCTGCAGACCAAAGGGTCCCGGGTTCGATTCTGGTAGAGGACACGTACCTGGGTTGCAGTCTCCTCTCTGGCCAGGGCCCTGGTCGGAGCACATGTAGAAGGCAACAAATCAAGGTGTTTCTCTCACATCGATGGGCTTTCCCTCTCTCTTCCATTCTCTCTAATAATCAATGGGAAAATATCCTTGGATAAGGATTTTATTTATTTTTTTATTATTATTTTTTATATTTTTATTGATTTTGTCCAGAGAGGAAGGGAGAGAGATAGAGAGTTAGAAACATCGATGAGAGAGAGTCATCGATCAGCTGCCTCTTGCACACCCCCACTGGGGATATGCCCGCAACCAGGGTACATGCCCCTGACCGGAATCGAACCCGGGACCCTTCAGTCCCCAAGCCGACGCTCTATCCATTGAGCCAAACCGGTTTCGGCTGGATAAGGATTTTAAAGTAATAATAAAAAAAAAAAAGAGGAAAAAGAAACAAACCTTGTGCAATTATATAAATGCAAACAGCATCAAGCTCTGTAAACAGACTCCAAGAACCATCATGAACCCAACAGGCCGTTCTTCTCTGACAGGAGCATCAGAACACAGTTCCCGCTGTCCTTGAGAAAACACACTCTGCCTGTTGTGTTGACTCAGCTAGTGGATACACAACCAGTTCTCAATATTCAAACAATTTTTTTTCTGAGGGTCTCGTGTCACAACGAACAAGAACGCGAGAAGGCACTACTGTCAAGTCCTAAATGATACTTGTCTAAAACTTACAGTTTCCACACCAGCACTTCCTCCCTGGTGATCTGCCCTTTGAACCTGCCTTCAAAACAACTGTGCTCCACACCCCTCCAGCCAGCTGTCATCACAAGGGCAGGCAGACAGAGCTGGCACACGTGAGTCCAGCCCCTGCACCTGCTGAGGGAGTCATTTCTGCATCAAGTGTCCTCGGCATCAGCTCTTCACTCTAGTCAAAGTCGGTTTCCACAAAAGGCACCCCTTAGGAGGGGGCACAGTAAAGTGCCAGTGAAGGCTCTCCACACATCATCATCTCAGAAGGAATGGACCCCCCCCTCCGCCCCCATCTATGCAGTGCTTCCCAGGTCATCATGCACTTGCCCTACATGCACCCAAACCTCCCATCAGGAGTCTCAGGAGTTAAGGGCACAAATTCAAGGGACACACACCCAGGAGATACCTTTCCCTCCTCCCCAAGCTGTGCTACAGGCAGCCTAGAGTCCACACCTGCTTTCCCTAGCTGCCCAAAGCAAAGCCTTTCCAGGCCCCAAATCTCTACATGCATGTGCTGTGACACCTCTCAGGAAACACATGTCCAAACAGTAGAACAAACCCACACTTCCACCTCATTAGCATGGGACTTCACCTCACCAGCGCTGGCCTCAGCTCAGTAACTGTGGTAGGGATGTCATGGGGAAGAAACACATCACTCTAGAGGAGGAGCTACCTACCAAAAGGGAGAATGAAAGTCAGAACCCACTTCTTTCCATGTTCTGTTTTCCCCACCACCGGCCCACACAGATACAGCACCTCTGCACACACACCGCCACCTACAGCTGCAGGGAGCCACTCTGCTAATGACCACGTCTTCATTCAACAAAATCGCTGCACAGATCTTTTTTCCAAAGGGAGGATTCCAAGCCTCACCATTCAGAACACCAGCCCTCAAATGAGGATGAACCAGAGCCTCTTTCCAAACAGCTGCTTTCTGACAGTGTGAGGCTGCAACAGGCTCCGGGGGCCACAGAGTTCAGCTCTGCCCAAAGCAATAGTGTGCTTCCCTCCACGTAACACCGTCCCTCCAGCCCCCAGCGCAGTTAACACATTCGGGCACAACCCCCTGGGAAAGACCTTCTGGGCAGGGGACGGAGCACTTCCTTACACTGAGTGCTGCACTGAACTGCCCAGCAGACCCTCATGTGAGGGGCAGGGGAGCACCTGGTCTCTATCCCTCAGACAGACTCTATTTACCACACAGGTTCTTAACGTTTCCTGCGCCTGTGCCCACACCTGTAGAATGGGAATGACCCCTACCTGGAAGCTGTTGACAGAATCCGAGCAGCACAGTGTGAACTATCCAGCCGAGTGCCCGCCTGAGAGGAAGTGCTCACTCAGGGGGCCACCGCCCAGGGCCCACCTCACTATCCAGCTGGGCAGGCCGTTTCAGACTTCACAACTCCTACTGCCCCCTGCTGGCTGAGCACACTTATAGAAATAGGAAAATAAGTCACTGGTCAGGGGATTCTCATACAGTGCCACCTTAGAATTCCAAACTTGACAGCAACTCATTGAACCATGCAAATCTACCGGTCCCCATGTAGGAAAAAAAAGAAAGGAAGAGAAAGAAGAGAAAGAAGAGAAAGAAGAGAAAAGAAAGAAAGAAAGAAAGAAAGAAAGAAAGAAAGAAAGAAAGAAAGAAAGAAAGAAAGAAAGAAAGAAAGAAAACCCTATTTTGGGATGTCTCTGCCATTACTGATGGGAAACGTGGCAGTCCACATGTGAAGGAACCTAGCTGCAGACACAAAATCCTGGTTCTCTCACTTCCTGATGGAAGGTCTAGTCTCTATTCTGTAATTCATTTCTTCTCACTGGATTCCAGCGTTTTGCACTAAAAAGTTGCCTCATGCCAAGAAAACACCCCGTGTCAAATACCATCCCATGGAACTACACAGACTATGAGAAAATGCACCTCTTCTCCTCCAATGGACCCCATCAAAGCACACACCTTGCACTGCAACAGCATCACTGTGTGCAAGTTTCTTTTACAAACATCCAGGATTAACATCGGCCCCAGCCTCAACTGAGCTTCACCAAACCTCCTAAATGGTGTTTGTGTGTGCTCACCCAGGCGCCCCTGGGGCAATAATCACAGACATCCCTTTTGCCTTTCACCATTTTCTTCCACAGAACAGGTTCTCCTCCTCTTGGACCCTGGGTTATCACCCATCTCCACAAAGCTCAGTGTTCTTAACGCGAAGTCCACGGGTGAGCTGCAGAAGGTTCGAGAGCTTCCTGAAGTCATTACAAAATGCAATGCAGCTGTGCGTTCTTCTCAGGAGAGGACGCATACCTTCCATCAGATCCTCAAAGGGGCTCAGGACCGCCACCCCCAAATGATAAGGGTCAAGCACATTTCACGGATCGGGGGGATCTGCCCTTTCAACCAAACTTTGCAAGTTGTCTACACATTCTCCCTCACTCCACATTCGCACACAAGGTATAAAACCTTAAACCGTCTTCCCAAGAGCAAGAGAAATAAACATAAAAATATAGGGATACTATTAGCAACATAGAGAAAACATAGAAACGCTAGATAAACTTTTAGCAAAACATTTAACCTATCAAACGCTTTTTCTTTCCCCACAAAACCTCTCCGCCCTGCCATGCTCCCTTTTCCCTGGTCAGTGGGGTTAAGCCGAGCTTCCTAGGGGCTTTCCCCAGCACCGGTGCCGGCTCCGCAGGAGCGCGGACACAGGTCAGGAAAAGCAGCCTCGGGGCCGGGAAAGGAGCCGCGGCCTCCGTGCTCACCGGGAATTCGGAAGGCCCGGAGCATCCCCAGGTGCTCTGAGGAACGAGCTCCCACCTCCTGCTGCTGCTGGGGCAGAGCACCGAGACCTCTTTGCGGTGAAGGCCCCTGGCGGCCCCTCCGCACAGAAGGAAAAGGAACCCCGAAGGCTCGGCTCTAGGCCGCGCCGAAAACAAACTTTCCAAACACTTGCACCCCGACCGGCTGGTGACACCTCCCCGGCTTCCCCGCCCTCTGCGCCCCTGTCAGCACCGGCGCCCACCTCACGGACGCCGGACTCCCCTCGGGGGCTGATGGGGTCCCCGCAGCGCCCGCGGCCCTCCTCCGCCCCGGTGCCCGGCCCCAGGTGAGACGCCGCCCGGCCCTCGGAATCCTGGGCCGCCGAGCTCCGTCGGGCCCAGGCGGCCGCCGCGCTCGGGGCGGTGACCGGCCGGTGGCCCCGGCCGCTGCGAGCGCACTCACCAGCTGGCTGGTGGTCCTGGCCATGGGCCCCGCGGCGGCTCGGGTTCCTATCCGCAGCCCCGCGCGCCTCTGCGCCTCCTCAGCGTCCTCCTCTCCAGAGCGGAGCTCCAGCAATGGCCGCCCTCAACCTGCGCCCGCCCCGCCGCTCGCCGCCCCGCCCCCGCACGGCGCTGGGCGGGACTTCCTTCAAGCCGCGGCTGCCGCCCGCGCTCATTGGCCGCGCTCGCTGTCGTCACGCGGCGGCCCCGGTCCGCTGAGGCGGCGCCCGGGAGCCGCACTTCCGGGTTGGGGCCCAGCAGGCTGGCGCCGCGCAACCCGGTGGTGGGAGGCGGAGGCGCGACCGGGTGGGAGCCAATCCCGGGGCTGCGGGGCGGCGCGGGGCGGTCCGGGGGGCGAGCTGTCATCTCGGGCTCCCGGACTGGGGACACGGGGCTCGCAGGGGCCGGGCCGCCAAGGTCACGCCCGGACCGGAGGCGAGGCTGGGCTCCCGCCCGCGCTCAGGCTCGGAAGCCCGGCTCCGCGTGAACGCCGAGAGGAAACCTGAGCGGTTACACAACCGAGAGCTGTTCCCGGTCGGAGATTGGGGCCATGGAGTCATATTTACACGGCAAAGAACAGTCCCTTCTCATCTCCGCTGATGGCCCCAGGAGCACGCTCAGAACTTCTTTGCTTATATATTTTTTTAATTGGTGGAGGTGATATTGAATGTTTTGGAAGTTTTTTTTATAGTGACGCTGTTATTTTTGTTTCTTTAAATTGCGGTAAAATAGACAACATTTATTACATGAACTAGTTTAGTGTACACTTCAGTGGCACTAAGTATATTCACATTGTTTGCGTGATGATGTTTTATAAGATGTGAAAAAATAGCAGTTATTTTAAGTTTTATTTTTTAGTCTTCACTCAGGGATATGCTTTTTTATTGAATTTGTAGAAAGTGAGGGTGGGAGAGAGAGAATCATTGGTTCCTTATTAAAAATGGAACCCATGACCTTCCCAGGTACAGTAGGACAGACCAACCAACCCGGCCACACACAGTTTTGTTCTGTGTGTGTGTGTGTGTGTGTGTGTTTAAATATATTTTATTGATTTTTTACAGAGAGAAAAAGAGAGAGATAGAGAGTTAGAAACGAGAGAGAATCATCGATCAGCTGCCTCTTGGACATATCCCACTGGGGATGTGCCCGCAACCCAGGTACATGCCCTTGACCGGAATCGAACCCGGGACCTTTCAGTCTGCAAGCCAACGCTCTATCCACTGAGCCAAACCAGTTTCGGCCACACACAGTGTTTTTAAACAAAAATTAGACTCACCTTTGTTACCTGAACATTTGCATATTTTAAGTAACCTTTTTTCCTTCCTATTTCCAAAAGACGTAGGTGTTTATTTTTTAATATAACAATACAGAAGTAACAATAAAATCACCAGACCCTTAATTCACCCTAACCAGACCTTTTTTTTTTTTTTAATACATTTTTATTGATTTCAGAGAGGAAGGAAGATGGAGAAATAGAAACATCCATGATGAGAGAGAATCATTGATCTGCTGCATCCCGCAAATCCCCCGCTGGGGATTGAGCCCACAACCCATGCATGTGCCCCTGACTGGAACTGAACCTGGGACCCTTCAGTTCTCCGGCTTACACTCTATCCACTGAGCCAAACTGGCCAGGGCACACTGGCCAGACTTATTGTTGGGTAGCAATAATAGCCCCGCTAACATTTACTCAACACTTATTCTTAGTAAGGAATTTTTTTTTTAAATATATTTTTTATTGATTTTTGTACAGAGAGGAAGGGAGAGAGATAGAGAGTTATTGTAGAAATATCAATGAGAGAGAGTCATCGATCAGCTGCCTCTTGCACACCCCCTACTGGGGATATGCCCGCAACCAAGGTACATGCCCTTGACCGGTATCGAACCCGGGGCCCTTCAGTCCCCAAGCCGACGCTCTATCCATTGAGCCAAACCAGTCCCGGCTGAGTAAGGAATTTTCATGTCTGATCTCATTTACTCTAAACAAACATCCAGCTATTGTTGCTCAACTTTCCAGTTGAGGGGGCTGAGGCATAGCACACAGTTCTGTAACTTGCCCCAGGTCTGGTAGTGCCAGACCATGCCAGAGGCTGAACTTGGACCATTAGGCTATAGGGCAGTGGTTCCCAACCTTTTCATGGCCATGCCCCACCTAAGCATCTCTAAAATCCTGATGTGCGCCTCCGCCCCACCCCACCCCCTGTGTTACATAATTCTTATTATTCAAAAAGTGAACTATTCACGTGGAAGAAGCCTAAAAGGCCATTAACCTGGTCTAAACAACCTTCCAAAGAACATGGCATCCATGACAGAGAAAAAGAAAAGAACGAGTCGAAACCGGTTTGGCTCAGTGGATAGAGTGTCAGCCTGCGGACTGAAAGGTCCCGGGTTCGATTCCAGTCAAGGGCATGTACCTTGGTTGTGGGCACATCCCCAGTAGGGGGTGTGCAAGAGGCACCTGATCAATGATTCTCTCTCATTGATGTTTCTAACTCTCTATCCCTCTCTTTCTCTCTGTAAAAGATCAATAAAATATATTAAAAAAAGAAAAGAAAAGAAAAGAACGAAAGGACTGAGGAAGAAATCACTAAGAAATGGTTAAGCCGAAACCAGTTTGGCTCAATGGATAGAGCGTCGGCCTGCGGACTGAAAGGTCCCGGGTTCAATTCCAGTCAAGGGCATGTACCTTGTTTACAGGCACATCCCCAGTAGGGGGTGTGCAAGAGGCAGCTGATCAATGATTCTCTCTCATCGATGTTTTTAACTATCCCTCTCTCTTCCTCTCTGTAAAAAAAAATCAATAAAATATATTATAAAAAAATACAATGAGATGTTATATTTTTAAAAAAAGAAATGGTTAAAAATAATAACAATAATATGAAGAGATGTGAAAAAAATAGCAAAGTTTTGAAACAACTGAAATGCACAAATATGTCACAACATATATACTGTATATGAGGCTCCTAAAACCATAAGAAATGCAAAAAAAAAATTACTGTTAATTCATTCTCTAATTGCCCCCTTAAAAATCAAATTTTTAGTCTTTATTCAGACTTCCAATCCTCAGCACATGGACTGATCTTTAGAAACAATAAAAAGGCAAGTGGAACCTCTGTCCCCCAGAAGGGCTCCTGCTGCTTTGATACTCATGTTTTTCACTTAACCATGCACTGTCCAGGAGGACTATTGGAGGAAGTGTACAGCTTATAGGTCCATATTGATGAAGCTCCCTCCTAACTTACACCGAAGTGGATCCCGGCCTCCTGCCCCATAAACAAGACCCTACTTAAATGCCTGGATTTAAGTACTTATTTCCCTAACGTGAATTTTTAGCAGATAGAACCGCTGGGTCAAATGCAAGCGTTCCTCTCAGGACTTGATGCATGCTGTCAACTGCCCACTGCCGACCCTCCTCCAGACAGTCTCACCCTCAGCTGGCACAAAGGCAAGCTCAAGGTAGATGCCAGCTCTTGCCACGGTACCAAGCCACACCAAACATTTGGGAACATTAGGCACATTAACCTAATCAATAACCCCTACTGGGTGTTAAGAGTAGGTACTCTGGCCCAGCCAGAGGGGCTCAGTGGTTCGATTCCCAGTCAGGGCCACATGCCCAGGTTGCAGGCTTCATCCCCAGTGAGGAGTGTGCAGGAAGCAGCCAATTGATGTTTCTCATCATTTCTATCTATCACTCTTCCTCCCTCTCTCTCTCTTTTTCTAAAAAGTAAAACTTATTTTTCAAAAAGAGTAGGTACTCTGACCATTTCCATTTTTTACATGAAGAAACTGAGGCGCCAATGACTTGCCTAGTCCCTGTCACAGAGTTCCTAGATCACAGAGCTCAGGATTCAAGACCTATCCTGACTAACCATGGCACCCTGACCTCGGCCACTATACTCAATTGCCTCCCAACAAATCTTGCTTTAAATGTATTTTAGTCTTCACAAAGTAATATTAACTTGTCCTCAGAGAATGTTAACCACTTTATATGATTTATGTTACTTCATATCACAACCTAATGAGATACTCTATACCATCTTGCATGTGAAAAAATCTGCCAGAGTGTACACTGAATGTGAGTGTAAAGCTATATTTATTTTTCTCAGAAAGTTACTGAGGGATGTGCTCCACTAAACTAAGAAAAAAGACACACACACAAAAAAAAAAAAAAAAGGCATGAGATTCAGGAAGTAGGAAGAAAGAGAACATGCAGGAAGGGGATGAAGGGGAGTCCTGGATTCGTCCATTCCACAAATACGTACTGATATTCCCACCACGCCAAGCACTGTGCTAGATAGTGTCAATTCATTCGTGAGTAAACACAAAAATCTCTGCCCTCATGGAACTCTGATACCATTGGCTTGTAGTTGAGGATGGGGGTGCACATAGCAAGCATCTACATAGATAAAAGCCTAAGGGACCAGGACAGGAACAACTGGTCACTGTGATGTGCACTGACCACCAGAGGGCAGACACTTAACACAGGAGCTGCCCCCTGGTGGTCATTGCCTCCCACAGCAGGGCGCCTCTCAGCGGTGCCTTTCCTGCCTCCAAGGCAGCAGGGCCGGGATGCAGCAACAGCAGAGCAGGCACAGTGAACTGGAATGAGCTGCACCTGGCCCAGGCTAGGGCTCCTACTTGGCCACCTGCCGCTTGGGGACTGCTACATCCCTCAGGGGATGTCAGACTGCTGGGTTTTGGCCCGATTCCCACAGGCCCCGGCAGTCCAACATCCCCCCAAGGGGTTCCAGATTGCGAGAGGGTGCAGGCCAGGCTGTGGGACCCCACCCGTGCACAAATCCGCGCACCTGGCCTCAAGTAATAAATAAACACATCTTATGGGATGTTAGAAGGTAATAAATGCTGTGGGAGAGAAAGAAAATCAGATAAAGAGTGCTCAAGGAGAAGGTGTGATTTGAAATAGATAATGAGAAGAAATCCGAGAATAAGATTGTGGAACACATAGACTCAAGGGCTCCAGAAAAATATTGAAAATAATAGATTAAACAACAAGAAAGCTCACTAAATGGGAGAACATATTTGCCAATGTTATCACCGATAAGGGTTTAATCTCCAACATTTACAGGGGACTCATACAACTTAACAAAAGGAAGATAACCCAATCAAAAATTGGGCAACGGAACTAAATAGGTACCTTTTGTTTTGTTTTAAATATATATTATTGATTCTTTACAGATAGGAAGGGAGAGGGACAGAGAGCCAGAAACATCGATGAGAGAGAAACATTAATCAGCTGCCTCCTGCACACCTCCTATTGGGGATGTGCCCGCAACCAAAGTACATGCCCCTGACCTGGGAACTTTCAGTCCAAAGGCGACGCTCTATCCACTGAGCCAAACCACCGGTTAGGGCAATAGATACTTTTTGAAAGAAGACAGAAGAAAGGCCAAGGGGCATGTGAAAAACATGCTCAAAGTCAGTAATCATCCAAGAGATACAAGTCAAAACAACAATGAGATACCATCTCACACCTGTCAGAATGGTTATCATCAACAAATCAGTTGAAACTGGTTTGGCTCAGTGGATAGAGCGTTAGCCTGCAGA